ACTGGACTTTCCTGCCTCTATACTTTTGCCTTTTCCAGAACGTTACATAGTTGGAATTACACAGTAAGTAGCCTTTTCAGACTGGCTTTTCATTAGCAAAATGCATTTAAATTCCCCCATGTCTGGTATCTATTTTTTATCGCTGAATAACATTCCATTGTAGGAATGTGGCCATCTGTTTATCTATTCATCTATTGAAAGACACTTTGCTTGCTTCTCTTTTGGGGGAAATTATGAATAAAACTCTTACGTGTAAGTTTCAATTCATTTGTGCAAATACCCAGGAACATAATTGTGGGATCGTATGGTAAGAGTATGTTTAGTTCTTTAAGAAATCATCAAACTGTTTTACAAGGTTTGCCATTTTGCATTCCCACTAGCAACGAATGAGTTTCTGTTGTCCTGACCCTTGCTAGTGTTTTGCTACCATTTTAATAGGTATCTTAATTTGCAATTTTCTATGGATTATTATGTTGAGCATCTTTAAATGTGCTTCTTTTCAGACAGGTGCAGTGGTACATGCCTGTAATCCAAGCTACTCTGGAGGCAGATATTGGGAGGATTGCAATTCAAAGTCAAACTGGGAAAAAAAAATTTGAGGGATGCCACCTCAACCAATAAAAAGCTAGGTGTGGTGGTGTGTACCTGTTGTGCCAGCTACACAGGAAGTAGTAAATAGGAGGATCATAGTTCAGGCCAGCCCGGCATAAATGTGAGCCCCTACCTCAAAAATAACCAAAGCAGCCAGTCGCTGGTGGCTCATGCCTGTAATCCTAGCTACTCAGGAGGCAGCAATCAGGAGGATCACAGTTTGAACCCAGCTAGGGCAAAGAGTTTGCAAGATCCTATCTTGACAAAACCATTACAAAAAAGGACTGGTGGAGTGGCTCAAGGTTAGACCCTGAGTTCAAACCCCAACACCACACACACACACACAAAAGCATAAGGTCTGGGGGTTTGGATCTGGTGGCCTAGCAAATGCAAGGCTCTGGGTTCAAACCCTAGTACTACCAAAAAAAGTTCTTATTTTAATTTTTATATCTTCTTTGGTGAGTTGGTTATTTATATCTTTTGCCTGCATTTTAATTGGGTTGGTCATTTTGCTATTAATAGTTTTAAGAGTTCCCTGCCTGGGCATTGGTGGCTCACACCTGTAATCTTAGCTACTTGTGAGGCTGAGATCAGGAGGACTGAGGTTTGAGGTCAGCCTGGGAAAATAGTTCATGAGACCCCATCTCCAAAATAACCAGAGCAAAATGGACTGGTGATATGGCTCAAGCAGTAGAGTGGCTGCTTTGCAAGTGTGAAGCCCTGAGTTCAAACCCTAGTCCCACAAAAAAAAAAAAAGGGTTCTTTGTACATTTTGAATACAATATCTTTGCAATGTATGTGTTGTGCAAATATCTTTTCCTCCTCTGTGCCGATATTTCCTTCTCTTACTTTACTCTTTCATAAGCGTAGAATTTAAAATTTTATTTTGGTTTTGTTTTCTTATAGAGCTGGGGATTGGACACAGGGCCTTGCACATGTAGGCAAGGTAAGGACTCTACTACTGAGCCCTACCCCAGTCCGGAACCTTTAAATTTCCATCATGCCCTACTTAGCGGACTTTTCTTTCCTTGATCTTGCTTTTGGTGTCGTATCTGAAAATGGCCAAGTGTACTACTTGCCTTGACTCTTAGCTAGCTGCTGATGGTAACCAGGACCCTGAGTCTGCTACTGTCACCTTCGCCTCCTAACTCACAACCATCATGTAGGAGTTCATCTCCAGATGACTGGCAGTGCCTGCTGGGAGCTTGGTGACTTGGAACATAGCGTCCAGCTCAATGACCAGATGCCAAGTGACAAGAAGACTCGGGGAGGAGATGAATCCTTCAGCACCTTTCTCAGTGAGGTGGCACTGGCAAGCATGTGCCCAGGGCAGCATCTGTAGACCTGGAACTCATGGTCATGGGTGAAGTTCACACGGGCACCTATAGCCAGCTCTTCTGTAGCAGGGAGGAGGACCAGAAGAGAAACAGGCTGTGTTCTGATAATGAGGCAGGGGGAGGGGATGGCATTGCAGAGAGATAAAACTTAAAGAATTGAAACATGAAGGTCACAAAGCACTGGGGAAATGAAATAGCCAATGAAGTCACATGCAAACATATGTGGGTTGAGCTTTGCTTTTTGCTTCTGTAACCTGCTTGTAAGGGTATATAAGGTGAGGCCCCTTTGTTCTTGGGGCTCAGCCTTTGGACACAAGTCCGCTGGGTGTGTGCCGGCACAATAAATGTTGCTTCCTGCTAATTTGCCTCAGTGTCCCGTATCTCAGCTTGAGATTCCCGCAACACTTCTGCCCCAGCAGCTCAACCCAGGCAAGGGAGAGACTCCAACAGCTATGGCTGTGGGTTCTATGTCACTGGCAAGGAGACCACTGGCTTTGTCTTGGCTGATCAGTATACAGGTCTTCAGGGCCTTGGGATTTTCCGCAGCTCTGGTGGGGACCGGCTCTGGGCTCAGCTCCCTGAGGATGGAATGTCTCTGCTGATTACAGCAAGAAATCCAAACTGCAATTCTCCATTTGCTCAGTCCTCAGGTTTCCACAGCTGTCACCGAGCCCCACAGCTCAATCCTCAGCAACTGCACCACCCTGGAACACTCTGATTGAAGCTTCATGGTAGACAATGAGGCCATCGAGACATCTGTCTAGAAACCTCAATATTGAGCCTCTTATCCTCAGCTGCCTTACTAACTACATGTCTTCTGTCACCAGTTCCCTCAGGTTTCACAGAGCTCTGACTGTTGATCTGATAGAATTCTAGGCAGACCTGGTGCCTTTCCCCACATCCACTTCCCTCTGGCCACATATGCCCCTGTCATCTCTGCTGAGAAAGCCTGCTTACTGTAGCAGAGGTCACCAGTGCTTGTTTTGAACTAGCCAACCAGATGGTGAAATGTGACCCTCACCATGGTGAATACATGGTTTGCTGCCTGCTGTACCATGGTGACATGGTTCCCTGAGCACAGAGCTGGATACTGGTGGCTCATACCTGTAATCCTAGCTACTTGGGAGGAGGCTGAGATTGGGAGGATCAAGATTTGAGGTCAGCCCAGGCAAAAAGTTTGTGAGACCCTATCTAAGCCAATAGCTGGGCATGGTGGCATGTTTGTCCCAAGCTACACAGGAGACTGAGATAGGGAGGATTGTGGTTTCAGGCTAGCCCAAGCAACAAAGTTTGGGAGAACTCATCCCAGATACTGTGTAAAATGTATAATAGGAGGGTGGCTTGGGCAAAAGTGAGACCCTATCTCCAAAATAACCAGGGCAAAAAGGACTAGAGGCATGGCTTAAGTGGTAGAGTGCCTGCCTACCAAGCATGAAGACCTGAGTTCAAATATTAGTACCACCAAGGAAAGAAAAGAAAAAAAAAAAAGACCAAGCACAGCACTCAGATTGTGATGATGCCCCACTGGCTTTGAGTTGGCACTATCAGCCTTGCACTATGGCACCTGGAGGAGACCTGGCCAAGGTGTTTCCAGCTGTGTGCGTGATGAATCATTGCTGAGGACTTGGCTGGTCCAGACAGGTCGCGCCTGAGGTACACCAAGCATGCCTTTGTTTATTCAGTAGACAGAGGCCTACTCACATGCTGTCTTTCTCCTTGCGTGAGTTTCAGTAGAAGTAAGGAATTAGTCCATTTCACCTAAGTCATTTAATTTGTGAGCACAGAGATGTTCAAAATATTCCTTTTATTATCTTTTCACTGTCCATGGGATTGGTGTGGATATCTGCTTTTTTATTTTGATATAATTCATATAACATAAAACTCAACGTTAAGGTGTACACTACCGTGGTTTTTAGTGTACTCAGTATATTATGTCACCATCGCCACTATCTGATCCCAGACCATCTCCATCACTCCAACAAGAAGCCCTGGACCTATTAGCAGTCAACCATGCTCCGTATCCCCTGTCCTCTGGCAACCATGAATCTGTCATTATGGCTTATTCTGGACATTTCATACAAAACGAATCCTATAATAGGTGGTCCTTTGCACCCGGCTTTTTTCACTTAACATATTCTTGTTGCATGGAACAGTACTTACTCCTTTCTATGATTGGCAATATTCCATTGTGTGGATGTGCCAAGCATTTCTTTTCTTTTCTTTTCTTTTGCAGTACTGGGGTTTGAACTCAGGACCTTACACTTGTTAGGCAGGCACTTAACCACTTGAGTCACACAACTCCTCAGCCCAACATTTCTTAAATAATTGAATTAATGGAGTAAAATTCATACCTGGGGAGATACTTGCTTCCAGCTCAGAGCAAAAGAAAAAGATGAGAAATATTATCCAGGTATGACTCAAGTTTACCCTTCTACATGAAGGACTGCAAGACATGAAACTAGTCTGGAGTTTCCCCTGTATTAGAAAAGACTCCTGCTTGAATCTCAGGGGTTTAAATAAACTGCTGCCACAGACACCAGCTCCCAGCCACTAGGGACCACTCTGCCTGCCAGGTGATGACTAGGCAGGTACATGGACCCGTCCTTCAAGGTGGGCATTCTTCATCTCCACTCTACACACGAGGAGCTGAGGCTCTGAGGGATAGGGTCATTTTCTCGGCACCTGTAGTTAGTGAGAGCAAAGATGCTAACTCAGGTCTGCCTAACACCGATGCCTCTCAGCTGTTAGGTAACACCTAAACTCTTAACCTCCCTGCTCCAATGGTAGGCATTCCTGATCATTTTGCCCTGCTCTAAGGCAATCTGGAGAAGTCTACAGATTCCTTTTCAGAATAATACATAATGGTTTAAATGCATGAAATAAATTATGTAAGATTACAAGGAAATGACTCACATTGAAATACAATTACCAGACCCCTTCTGGTGGTACACTCTGATAATCCCGGCTATTCCAGAGGAGAAGGCAGGAGAATCGCAGTCTGAGACTAGTCTGTGCAGAAGCACAGACCCTATCTGAAAAGTGAAGCAAAAGCAAATGGGGGCCATGACTCACGTGGTAGAGAGTTCGCGTAGCAAACACAAAACTCTGAGTTTAATCCCCAGTACTGCCAAAAAAGAAAAAAGAAAACAAGTATAATTGTTAAAACTATTAAATAATCAGACTTACAAAGTGGTTATATATGTCCTTCTGTTTAACACAGTAAATATCAAAATTCAGCAATGAGTCCAATTACTACAATCACTTTGAAGTATTAAAAAGCATATTGAGGTATCTGTGAAATGACACAAACACATCTGGATTTCTGTTGGTGACAAAGTCACGGGTGCTACTGATATGACTGTGGCTCGTTGCCTACATTCATAATGGAAGGAAACGCTAAACTTCAGTTAGCAGTGAGTGAAAATAATGATGTCACATGGTCTCCAACCAAGTTCATGGCCCTGGGTGAGAATTTGCTTCCCTAAGACCATACAACATCAAGGAATGGGAATGTGAGCTGGAAGACAGGGAGGACCCTCCCTCTCTTGGGACCTGTTGTCACCTGTTGATGCTCACTGTGTCCTGCTGGGAGAAGCAGTCACCCTTCCTGCTACTCTCCTTCCCTAGCCCAGAGTTCCTCAATTTGCTTCTCTCTGAGGAGCTCTCCCAGTTCTCCTGCCAGTCCCAGCCTCGGCATAGTCTCATACCTCCTGTCTTTCTGGACAGTTAATTACTTTTCAAAACAACAGCCACAGAGTGGTGCAGGGAGTTTCTAATCTCTCATATCAGACTTCTTGTATGACTTCAGAAGGGCAGTTCCTAAGCCTGGCTCCTCTGGCAGAGGGAGCCCAGGTGAAGGTGTGGTGCCAAGCCCCACCAATGGATGGGAAGCCAGGGCAGAGTTCAGCAGGGAGGGGCCACAAGACAAGCAGCTGGGCTGTGGCACAACCTCTTCTGCTCGGGACCACTGCCTTTCTCACCACCTGCGCCCTGCTTGGGGAGTGGGGAACAATGGGTGAAGCCACATAACCTCTCTGGACCTTGGTTTCGTCAGTCATAGAGTGAGAGATGGAACTCTCCATAATGGCCTGTTAGGGGTGGGGACCTACAACAAAAAGCCAATCACCACCATCCCCAGGGTTCAGCCCTGACACAGTGAGACCCAGAGAAACTCTACAGGTGGGTTCAGGAACCAGCGGCACATACAGTCTGGCACTTTTCTGAAGATCCAACACATAAAATGACCACTGTTCCCAACTCCTACCTGCTGTATTTCTGAGACACAGCCAGGAGGAAGTTGTTTTGGATAGGACCAGTGTTTGGACCTAGATGGCCTGTTCTTCCAGTTCCTTGTCTTTATTCAAGGCATCCAACTTGGGGTCCTTGGAGAGTCTCCTTCTTCTCTCAGCCTCATGTCCCCAAGGGCAAAGTGATATCTCAGGGCTTCTCCAGCTCCCATCTGACCCAGAAGGAATGCAGGGCTTCTCCCCATGGCCATGACACATTGGGTGGGGGCATGTCAGGATGATGGGAGCCACTCAAGCTGCCATGGCTGCAGCGGGTTCCTGTGAGCAGAGGCTACTTTGCCTCCAGGCCAAGCATGGTTACGGGGTGGGGCTGGGGCAGAGGCGGGAGACAGATGCAGGGACACCAACCAGGCTCCAAACGTGCCCAACCCATGTCCATCATCGTGTTTCCATGGCTACATCCAATGGCCCTCCCCACAGCAGTGCCTGGGGCTCGGGGAGAAGGCAGTAGAGGCCAAGAGGGAGAGGGAAAAGAGGCTGCACTGTCTGGAGACGTAGGGAATGGCTGGAGGCTGGCAAGACTGGGCTGAGCAAAAGAAGCTTCCAAAAGACCTGTGCAGAAGACAGATGAAGGAGCTCAAAAACAAAAACAAAATGTCAAGATGCACACCAGCAGCCCCAATGTTTCCTGTTTTTCTAACAAATCACTGATGATTTCCAAGAAAAGCAAGCTGTGCCTCACTCACCCAGGGCACAGCCACAGAATTTGCACATCTGGCCTGTGCTTCGAGAGCAGCCCGTGGGGGACAGGATGTGGCAGGGCAGCCCAAGGCTCGGCAGCCTGAGGCCCTGCAGCTCGAGGATCCCGAAAGGAGCAAGGCCAGGGGCCCCCAGGGAACCTCCTGATGCTCCATTTCCAGTGCCTGGGGCCCAGAGATAGCAACCTGTTCCTATCGGCCAGCCAGTCCACCCATGGCCTCCATCCGTCCTGCTGCATTTGCATCAACACAGGTACTGATGTGTTGGCAGTTAAGACAAGGGAGACAGAAGGACCCTCCCCCATGCCTAGACAACCCTCTGGGAGGGGTTATGTGTGGGAACCTCCCCAGGCATGTTTACTGCTTTGAGGATTTCCAGTAGAGGGTCTCCCCCAGCAGGCTTGGGCTGGGGCTGAAGATTCACCCAGTAAGCCCAGGACCTCCAGCCCTTCTCATCTCATGGGCTCCACAGGAAGCCACACCCTGCCCCCATCTGCCTGCCTGACCCCAGCCAGAAAGACACCACTGGCCCCAGAGGGCCCTTCAACCCCACCCATGCCTCCTCTCACTCTACCCACAGACACAACCTCCGTGTCATCTCCTTGGTCACCTGGATGCCCCAGGCCTGAGAAGATAGACCCTGTCAGACTGCTGGGCTGGTGACCTCACTCATTTAGGCTGTGGACAAGCCCAGCATGTACCCTACAGAGGCAGGGCCAGAGGCAGGCTGGGGGCCCTGTCAGGAAGGAAGGAAGGAAGGAAGGGAGGAAGGGAGGAAGGGAGGGAGGACACTTTGAAGCTTTATTCCCTTCATCTTTTTTCCCAGCTGGGCAAACCTGTTTCTCATGGCAGACACACACACACACATACACACTTTAGTAAGATGCGGGTTACAGACATGGTGACATATCCTTCCTAAATGCAGTCATGTGTTACTTAACAAGAGGGATAGAGTCTGCAAAATGTGTCATTAGGCAATTTGGTCCTTGTGTGGACATCCCAGAGTGTACATAAACAGGAGATTTTATGTAGGAGGCTGCTGTTGGTATGATGTGGTGTACTGCCTTATGGTAAACTTATAAGTAGAAGGAGTGCACTACAAAACAACCATAAAAAGTATAGCTGATATATAAACCAGAGGCGTCGTCATTTGTTGTCATTATCAAACTCTCTGCACTGTCATGATTACACATGCTCTCCTTCAAACGACTGGCAGTGGAGTAGCTCTGTACACACCAGCATCACCACAGGCACACAAGTAATGTGTGGGGCTGGGGTGTCAGCACCCATGCTGTGGAGTAGCCCTGTGGGCCCTGAAGCCATCCTCACTGCCAAGGCTGGCTCAGCCTCCTTCACTTTGAGAGAAGGGCAGGAACACACAGTAACTCCCACGCAGGCCCTGCTCTCCACCCACCCACGAGGTCTGCCGTGGACCTAGCACTGGGTGCAGCTCTGTGGGCTTCTGCTCTAACAAACCTACAGGTCTTCTACGCCACACCCTCAGGGGATAAGACTCTGGTACCAGAGCTGTGTTCCCTCCACCCAACTCCTCCACTGCCCCTCCCTCTTCCTTCATCCAGGAGGCTCCGTGGCAGAGTGAGAGAGCAAGAGACACCTCTGCAACCATCTCACAGTGGGAGCTGATCCTGCCAGGTGCAACCCGGACATCTGAGGACCCACAGAAGCCCAGTGACAATATAAAGTGAGACATCTTCCCTAGGGAAATAGAAGGCACATACATCATAAGACTGGAACTCCCACAGGTGGCCACGACAGCACGGCCCATCCCACACCTTTTTACATCCCAGCCTTTCCCCTCCTCCTAAACTTAGGTGGGTTGATGACTGCGTCAACCCATGGATCACAGTAGAAGGGACAAAATGTGGCTTCCAAGGCTGGGTCATGACCAGCACTGAAGTGACTGTCTCCTTTGTTCTTGGAGTTTTGAGCCATGGTGTAAGAAATCTATCTTCCTGGAGAGCACCATGATGTGAGGAAGCCCAAGACACATGGTGAGGCTGCTGCAGGCACACGAGTTTGCAGTTCTGGTCCCCAGCTGTTTGCGTCTTCCTAGCTGAGGTCCCAGGCATCACTGTACTACACAAGCCATCATGGCTGGCCCGAATTCCTGACCCACAGAACCCAGAACGTAATAAAATGGTCCACATCTTTTACTACTACATTTTGGGGTAATTCATTTTATATCATTAGTGTCTGGAACGTACACATCTGGTCTAGGCTCCACACCCTGACAGAGGTCAAGCCACACAACCACAAGACATTGGACCATGTGTGTCCAGAAAAGTCCAGAAGGAAAATCTGAAAAGAAAGCTAGCAAGCATCTAAGATAATAAGAACAATTCAGAGGTGGAAGGGCCCTTTGAAGTTGTGTAACCTGATAAAATCCCTTCTTTTCTGGTGAATATGAACACAAAAAAACTTTTCTGGATTTCTTTACAGATTCAAAGGTAAGTAATTCATTGTCCTTCATTTTAAGTACTGAGCTTCGCTGATGCTGGAATGGAAGTTGCTTCATTCCGAAGACTAGAACGATCACAGCAGCACACCAGACACTCCTGTCTCAGGACCTTTGCACTTGCTCTTCCTCTGCCTGGAGAGTTCTTTTCCTAGATGTCTGCTTGGCTCACTCTCCACTTTCCAGTCTTTATGTTACATTCTTAATTAGGACTCCTGGCAAGTCCCACATGTGACACAACCTGCCTCATTTTTTTCCACAACTGACACGCTACACATTTTACTTTTGTATTGTGCTTGCTCTCTGTCTCTCACTTATAGCCCCTTTAGAATGTAAGCTCCACGAGGGCTCAGAAGAGTGCCTGGCACTTGTGCTGAGTGAATGAGTGAATGAAAGGAAGTTGGAAGGAAGGCAAAAGAAGAGAGAAGCACATAGGAACTGAGGTCTGGGTGCTGCTTTACTCACATGGTTTATAAAGTTGACCTAGACCCAAGGTCTAGGACAGCGGGGGGCTTCAGCTGGATAGCAGCAGCTGGGAGGCTCACTAGGTTAAAACCAGGCCCTTACACTAATCCTTGCCCCCTGATCCTCTCATCTCTTGGAAGGCTCACAGAAAACTACTCTTCTCTCTTAAATTCTCACCAATAACAACACAAAGGTTATAAAACAGAAGTGAGAGGAAAATGGGGAGAAAATGGCCACTCCACGTCACAATCTGGGGACATGGTGTAAGGAAACAGTAGACATAGTCAGGCACGAGTCACAGATTTTGAGGAAGCAGATTTTCAAGAGGTTGGGAATCAGAGTGGATGGCTTTATTGGGAAAGAAAACTGAAAATTAAAACTGACGGTGCAGTCACAGAGTGACACAGGGGAGGGAAGCAAGGAATGTAAAGAGGCCAAAGTGACTTCTTTGGCCTACATAGAGATGGAAGTGAGGCCCCCAAATAAGAATGAACACAAAAAAGTAAGCATGGAACTGTGACAAAGTGGGGCTCGGGGAAGCTCTAAAGACATCAAAAAGGGCCAAAAAAGTGATTTTCATAGCCAGCCAGGAGGGGTGAGCCTGGAACAGTCATGGATGCCTGTGAGAAAGCAGGGCCCCACACTGGTCTGCCTTCATTTCCCTCAAGGAGAAGGGTTTCCCTGCTCAAAGTATGGTCTATTCAGTTAACGGAAGATATATATTGAGGGTCTATGACTTTGAGGGACTTTACTAGGCACTGGGGGGTCCAGAAATCCCATGGAGTTCATGGTCAGAGGGGAGACAGGCCGGAGTAATTATCACACAACATTGTTCATAGGAGCAGCAACAACAGTACAAAGCATAACCCTAGAGAAACACGGGCAAAAAACTCAAACAGACACTTTGCAAAAAGAGGGTGTCCAAATGGCCACGAAACATATGAAGAGGTGTTTGATTTCATTAGTCACAAAGAAAATGCAAATTAAAACCACAATGTGCTATCATTACACACCCAACTAGAATGGCTAACATGAAGAAGATGGAAAACATAAAGTGTTTGTGAGGATGTGAAACCTTGAGAACACTCAACTGCTGATGGGAACATAGGCGTAGGACCACTTTCCACATGGAAAACTGTTCAGCAGGCCTGCTGGAGACCACCCTGCCTGGTCCCATGCCTCAGTAATTCCCCTCAGAGGTATTTATCCCAAAGTGCACAACAGCTGCTCCAAAACAGTCTTCAAGCTAGAAAGACCCAACAGGTTATGCATCTCAGTAAGGTTACTATAGACAGGTGCAATGGGAACTTGGAGGAAAGGACAGTGTTGCCTGGCCAAGATTCTCCAGAGGGTGACTCCTAGAAAGTCTTGAGGAAGGAAGAGCCGCCCTGGGTGAGATCCAAGCATGATGGTGGAAAACGGACAGAAAGGAAGAGGCATGAGATAGCATGGTTCCTTCAGGGAATCACTAGCCACTCAGCCCTACTGGAAAATAACGTGTGACAAGGGGCATGCTGGGGAATGAAGCTGTACTGACTCAGGTGGTCTACCAACCATGAATGGCCTCATATGCCAAGGTAACTGTGTGATGGCTTACTCAGGGACTGTGTGATGAACACGCCAAAGAGTGACACCTTGCCTTGGGGATTTAGATGATCCCACCAGCTGTTGGGTAAGAGGCAGATTGGGGGAGAGGGTCTGAAGTCAAATACAGTCTTGCTGCTCTTTTCTATTATCTCCTATGCTGGTGATCGAACCTTGCACATGCTAGGCAAGCACTCTACTACTGAGCCACAAGCCTAACTCCTGCTGCTTAAATGAGCTCTAGATTGTAGATGAGGACAAATGTGTCTCAGAGTCATAAAGAAAACTGGGGTTGTGAAAGGGAACTGGTACCAATACTCTGTAAAATTGGAGAAAATTGAAGATGTGTAAGAGAAAGACAGAGACAGAGAGAGACACAGACGGATTGGAAAAGCCTGTCCCCATGTGGAGAACAGAGAACCAGCCAAGAGCAGAATCTGTAAACTGCACCTCCGAGGCCACCAGCCCTGCAGTGTTCTCCACACATCATTTATAAGCAGATTGTGAGCACTGAGGAACGCATCCAGGGACTGCCCCTGGCTACAAGGGACCCACAGGCTCAAAACTAAACAGGTAATAAAAGAAACTGTCACAAAAGATCTAACCAATATATAATATAAGCCTATTTGGAATTGTCACAATGAATCCCCCCTGTAAACGAATATATCCTAATTAAAAAAAAAAAAGAAAATGCCACAAAAATAGCATGTCTGAATTTTAACGAGTCTTACTATATTCTCATGACAAGGTTAAAACTGAATGTAACCTGAATGGCACCACAGAGAGCTGGCTTCATCACTGGCTTAATAGCTCACCCAGAAGGCACTGAGTAGTTTTATCCACAGGGACATCGCTGCTAAAATGCAGAGAACTCTGCTGTTGGACCCTTATATGATGTCATTAAAAATTGTGTTAACATGTACACAATATAAAATTTACCATTTTAGGGCTTGTGGAGTAGCTCAAATGGTAAAGTGCCTGACTAGCAAGCATGAGGCCCTGAATTCAAACCCCAGTACTGTAAACAATTATATATATATACTATGCATATATATAATTATATATACATACATAATATGTACATTATCTAAACATATATGTATGTATGTATATATATATATATATATATATATATATATATATACTATTTTAACCATTTTTTAATATGCAGTTCAGTGGTGTTAAGCACACTCACACTGTTGTGATTGGAGCATCCCCTCCATCCAGCCACGGAGTTTTCATCTTCCCAAACTCAAACTCAAACTCTACCCTATAAACACAAACTCCCCTCCCCCAGCCCCTGGTAATCCCTGAGCTATTTTCCATTCCTGTGAGTTCGATACTGTGGCTACCTTGCATACACGGACTCAGGCAGCGACCGACTGTGTGGCTTATTTCACTGAGTGCAATGTCTTCAAGGCTCACTCACATGTCAGTACTTCATTCCTTTTTAAGGCTGAAGAATATTCTATTGTATGGATATACTCTTTTTGTTTATCCATTCGTCCATCATTGATTTCACCTTTTGGTAGAACATGGTATTTAGATACACTTGCTCCACAGCAGAAAGGATAAAGAATATTTACGTGAGAGCAAAAACTCAGAAAGATCTCAAATAGTAGCTGTCAAATGTGGATGAGACTCTTAATTATCCTATATCCACTTTCCCTCTTTCCTTTCCTTTTTTTTTGGCATACAGAGGTTTGAATTTATGGCTGTGCACTTGTCAGGCAGGTACTCTGCCACTGGAGCCAGGCCCCCAGGCCTGTTTTTGCTTTAGTTATTTTTCAGATGGGCCTGTGTTTTTGCCTGGGTCAGCCTGGACCACGATCTTCCTATTTACACCTCCCGCACAGCTGGGAGGATAGGCATGTGCTACCATGCCCAATTTATTGGTTGACATGGACTCTCACAAACTTTTTGCCTGGACTGGCCTCAGATCACGATGCTCCCAGTCTCTGCCTCCCAAATAGCTGGGAGGACAGGCATAAGCCTCCATGCCCAGCCATCCATTCTCCTTTCTCCTATAGTAATAGCTTTTAGAAATTTTGAATTGCATTTCCCTGACTCTCTTGTGTGAGAGAGTGTGGTCACTAGAATGTGAATGTATATTGGTTAGTGTAATTTCCAAATCATGCTTTTAAAGGGAAGAGGCATGCCTCTCTTCTTTTCTTCCTCTAGCTAACTGGAGTACTAGTGACAGCAAGTGCAAAACTTGGTCCATCATGGACTGTGAGATGGAAACTACATGTCGAAGAAGGCAGACCTACAAAATAGGAGGAACCTCAGCTCTTGACCTGTGAGGCTGTCGTGGAAAGGCCGGTCGCTTATCCTTAGACAGTAATATAAGAGATGAATAAACCCCTCTCTTGTTTAAGCCATGAATATCTGTCTCTCACCAGACAAACCAATATACTAACTAATATTTCCATCAATGCTGAGTTATCTAGTGAGATTATGTTTTTATTTGTTACAGAGTCATTTAGATATACCTGGTAGATTTGTAAAGTATTTTATGTCTGACTTTAAGGACAGACCATGGTATACCCCAAATTCCCTTGGAAGAGATTCCTCATCAAAGCTGAAGGCATCTTTCAGAGAGGCAGCACAAATTTTCCCCATGGATTGCTTGCCTCTGTGTGTCCTCCTCTAGAGGGAGCAGCAGCAAGGGCTCTGTTATTCAAAGGCCAGGCACTCTTGGCATCACACAGACCTACCAGCTACTAAAGCTAAAGGTGAATTACTGCTTTAGTAAACGAATTGGAGTTAATCTCTTACTGGCCAATAAGAAGCTACTGTAAGAATTATGGCCATTATAAAACTTGCCCTCCTTAAACAACGCTGAAGGCTTTAGTGAAAGTAGTGTTCCCATCCTCATCTTCTGAGCAGGTAACTTCCCACTGGATGGGTGAGGGGAGGAGGGAAGTGGGAGTCTCCAAGGGGACTGAGCTCTGGACTCAATGTGGAGTCGTGGCTATTGTCACATGAGGCTCACACCCCAACCCAAGCCCTTCAACGTTTCCTAGAGAGCTGCCCTGCTGGGAAGCCAGAAGAGTTGAGCTTGGGCCTCTGATGAAACTCTACCAGCCTCAGTCATTGCAGAGGGAAATTTCGGCCATACTACAGAGTACCCTAGGCATGTCATGATACATGGTGGCCTGGGCCAGGGGCTGGATGAGACAAGTGGAAAATTGATGGCCCCCCTTTCATTTCTAGCATACCAATGTCAACATATTGTCCCATCTTCAGGGCTTGCTACTGTTAGCTCCCCAAGTTCCCCCCCTACCTCATTCTGATGACTCAGGAACCTTCTAGAACAACCTCTTGACCCCATCCCAAATATCTCACATGCCTAGAACCTGAGTTCCTTAGTGTAATAAGTTCAGAACTGTTTTCTTGACACCTGCAGGCTCAACTCCACCTCTCATCTCCCTCCTTCACCAGCCCCTCAGGGCAACCTCTGTTTTTCTCAAGTAGGAAGACTCTTTGTTCATTTATTTGTTTAGTTGTTGAGACAGGGTCTCGCTAAGTAGCCCAAGCTGGCCTCCAACTCACGATCCTCCTGGCTTAGTCTCCCTGAGTATTAGGACCATAGGCACCATGTTTGGTGGCAAAGTCAATTTTTATTACCAAGTGCTTTAAAGGACCATATCCCACCACTGTTTTTTTCTTCCTTTACACTTCATAGCAAATTTTCACATCATGACCCACAGCCCAGTGTGTTGCTGTCACACCCCAGCCTTGTGGGGTGGGCAGCTCACACACTCTATCCCTTGTTTAGTGGGTTCAGAGAAAAGATGAACCCTAGAAATCAGCCCCGGATCTTCAGAAGTGAGCAGTGTGGGTGGACCTTATCTTTCAATTACCCACTCTTGTATCCATGGAGAATACTCCTGTCCCATAGGTTAAGAGAGCCTGGGACACCTTCCAAGATCTTTCAGACATATGTACTGGGATCAGAGACAACAGAGGATGTGGACACAAGCTCATGCTTTTGTGGGTGACACAGCCATGGCTCCAGGCTGATGGGTACATGCCCCAGAGTAGCCACACCCTTTGAGGAAGCAGGGAAGCCAATGTTGGTTTCTTCCCCTCGGTGTCAGATGTGCACAGAGAGGGGTGAGCTCCAAATCAGAATAGAATGATTCAGTCTCCCGAGGAGCTCCTTCCACTGCTCACTCCTCCCCTAGAAAGCCCTCCTTACTCTCTATAGCAGAACATTTTCAACAGAATGAAAGAAGGGGGAAAGGGAGGAAAGAAGGAACAAAGAAAAGGAGGGAGGGAGGGAAAAAAGGAGGAAAGAAGGAAGGAAGGAAGAAAGGAAGGAAAGAACAGGAAAAGGAAAAGGATAAAGAGAATTTTGCCTTGTTTACTTTGACCCATGGCCCTGCTTGGCGTGAAAGAAGGAAGTCTATTTTTTTTTGGACACATTCCCCATTAGACTATGGGGCCACATCTGTGAAAAAGGTCTTGTGTTTTTGCAAGCTTTCTATAAAGGGCATTGTGCAAAATAATCATAATTATTAGTAATACTCTTTTGAGGTTTTTTTTTTTTTTTGCTCAAGTTTAGCATTTGTGTTCTACAGATGTTCTTTGGTGCTCCAGGGATGTCTGAAGAATCCCCAGAGCACCCCCCTCATGTCTTTGCTTCACGGTCCCTCCCCACCCCCCAACATGCTCCTGATTGCCCCACAGCCTGACACGCAGGCGGGACAGGAAACTGCTTGCCTGTTGAGCACTGTCTTGCAGCAGACACTTCCCCAGTCTGTTCTGCACAAGCTGTCAACAGACTGGGAGTGGCCTGCCTGGGGAGGTTCCAGGGCTTTCCCCGCTCTCAGACTCAGAGCATTGCTCCTCTTATGGTCTGAAGCAGCCCCAGGAGGACATCTGCCTCGTCCTGTCATTGGAAGGCAATAACACAGGTGTCTGAAGCCCCTTCAGATGCCCACAGGAGGGCAGCCCCTGAAGGGATGGTGGTGAACCCCACAGGGATTTCAGATGGGGGGCAGCACAGCCTGCCAATCATCAGCTATCCCAGGCTGAGGCCCAGGCTGTCCCTGTGCTGGCTGCTCCACCAGGCCATTACTCACTCAGCAAACACTGGAGGATCCCAGTCAAGTGCTGGCCCTGGCACTGAGGGGTGGGTGAGATTGGGAGGAGTGAGAGGCAAGAACACTTGTTAGGCATTGGGGGAAATGAGTCAGGCTGTCAGTCGAGTAGCTGAGGAGGATTCATGAACAGAGTGGGACATGGCTTTGAACCCTGAACAGAAGACCAAGGGCTCAACTTTCCCTGTGCAGCAGGATGCTATATAGTGAGAGAATTTTCCTAAGAAGACTCTTGGTGGAGCAAGGAAGAGCCTGTGGCAGGAGGCGCAGGAAGAAAGCTGAATTGGGTGCCAGAGGGAGCAATGAGGAAGTGAGAAACCTAAGAATATGGGCGCTATTGCAACTGGCCAGAGTGTGGAGAAAAAGGAGGGTGCAGAGTGGACCTGGAGTCGACACCAAGCCTTCAGGCTGCAGCAAACGGAAATGGGGAAGTCCATGGAGGCTCCAGTTGCATGATTGGGTGGAAACGGCATCAAGTGAAAACAAGCAGTGGGAGACAAAGGCTGGGTGAGGGAGAGAAGCCAGCAGCTGTGAGTGGTAAGAAAAAAGCCCCACATGAGAGTGGTGGGCATCATATGTCATAGAAACTTCCAAGAAAGATGCAGGTTGGGAAGAGGCCGGTAGAACTTGCCAGCACAAAGTCATCAGTGACCTTAGAGGGAACCATCCAATCCAGCAGCATGGGATGAAGGGAGGGACTGCCTCCCTGTGGTCTGAAGCAGGGGGAGTCCTGCCATAAGAGGGGCAAGAGGGTAGGAGCAGGTCCCCTCTCTGTATCACTCCTATCAGGCCACTCACAAAGAGCAGGCTTTTGACACTTCCAGGTCAGAATCCTGGTGTCCAGAGAGATGAGGAGGTAATAAGGGAATCAGGATTAGAGAC